GCAATATACTGTATGTAAGGTGGTGAATGTGAAGATCATAGTTTAAAAAAGTCATGAAAACAACCATGAACTTTAAATTAATTTTGAGGAAGAGAAAGAGGGCCTGCAACAGCTTTTGTTTTGTTTCAGCAGCAATGAGAAATAAGCCCGCTCTGATGCTTTTACAGTGGCGCTAATTATACGTGTCACATGCAGGTGTTCACCAAGGCCATGCTGGGCTGCGTGTGTGAGCTTCAGACGTCCACAGGCACCAAAGCTGACGTCTCTCCTGCTTGGATAATGGCAGCTTCAAAGCATTTTGCACCCAGACTGGACACCCTCTGCCACATATTTCTGCTGCAGCCCCAGCTAGCCAATCATGTCGCACAGCAGGGGCCAAACTGGGAGCTGGAAGAAATGGTGAGGATCATCTTTTTGGCTACATTTGAAACATTCTCGTCACACTTATCTGTTCTTAAGTATTTTATTTCTGGCAGGTGGAGGACATTGTAGCTCTGGGTATCTGTGTCGAGGAGACCAAACGTCTGACCGTGACTTCCCTGGACGAGTGTGAGTCCTTTATGCGCAGGGTGGAGTTGCTGCAGCCGTGTTTGGATAGAGCATTCGGTCAGAAATACAGCGCCCTGTGTGGCCCTGCCAGTCTACAACACCTGGACTCTATCAGGTGAGTCAAGGTGACAGGATCTAGAGAAGGAAAAGAAAAACATTTCAGTGTTTCTTGGGTCCATTTTTATTCTCATCTGCCATTTCAGGTCACTGTGGCATGGGATGCTGGTCGTTGCATCTTTCATCCAGCATGTCACCTATAAAGTTAAACAGGACGACTCGAGATTGAAAGATCTGGCTCTCAAACACTGCAACCTTCACCTGAACGTATGTAAAAATGGTTTCTGCGTCTTCTGTGTGAGCAGATAACAGCATGAACACTTCTCTCATTTTGACATTTGCCGTGCGAAGGAACAGATCATGAAACTTAATGGCTTTTTTGATTTAATAGTTTCTTTTAAACAGTTTAAAAGCTGTAACAGAAAGTAAAAGATCAGAGAAATGCAGAGGTTGAACGTGACCTGGAATTTAACACCTGATGCAGGAAAAATGTCTCGCTCTGACAAAACTGCAACTAATTATTTAATACATACATGTGGCAGATGTTGCTGAGCTTAGACATGAGTACATCAGAGGGTTGACACAGGTAGAGAGGCAAGGCTGAGGTGTTGTGGACATGTGCAGAGGAGGGATAGTGTATATATTTGACAAAGATTGTTGAAGCTGCCAGCCGGGAAGAAAAGAAGATGGAGATTTAGACGGAGATGTATGAATGTGGTGATGGAGGACATGCAGAGGGTTGCTGTGAGAGAGGAGGGTGCTGGATAGGAAAAAACTAACTGTTGATGACTCAAAAAAAAAAAAATGTTCCACTTCTGATCTTCTAACAGCTGATGCAAGAGTCTCCTGATGTAAAAAGCGTGGACACGCTGAAGCAGCTGATCCGCATCCTCAATTCTTTCCACGAGGAGTGCATCAGCAGGGACCTGAGGTCAGGCTCCAGACTTCAGTTCAACACTTGATTTTAAGCCTGATCTCACAGCAGTATTTTGTTGCATTGATGGTGTGGATCTTAAATTAAATAATAAATATCTTACCTGATCATGTTTCTATGCAGGTTTGGCATTTCTTGCCCGGTTTGCCTCTCTGAGTTCAAAGAGCCGTCCGTCCTGCCGTGTCAGCACGTTATCTGTCTGCCGTGTCTCCAGCGCTGCATTCACCCCCACAGGCGATGCCCTAAATGCAAGAAGGAACTGCCATCCAACTTCAACCCCACTGTTTCTCCCACCATCAAGTGAGTGGGGAAAAATAAAGTAGAATCTACAGTGGGTCATGTACCGATCAGTCTGTGCAATAATAGTTTAATGGACCACCTTAAAATACCACTGAGGGGTATTTTAAGGTGGTCATAGTGAGGTTTCACATTTATAACTCTCTAACTGGGAGCACCTGTCACCGCTGTGCTTGCCCCACCTGGGCCACAGCCAATCAGAATCCAGCCACAAATGTCCTAAGATGAAAACTAAACAACGACCACATACTCCAGGTATACAAACAAATAATCCTTCGGTTAAACATCTGTTCTTTGAGCGACGTAGTTTGACCCTGGATGCCATAATTTCACGTTCACTCTCATAGTCAGTCTTAATTCAGTGATGCTGAAAGCTTTCTTCTGATTAATGGCTAACTGTATGAATTTGTGTGGCTCAGGAAATCCCTAGAACAGCAGGCGGCCATCAGACGCTGCTGTAACGCCTTCTTCCTGGAGGTGGTGTCCAGGTTCTGCCTGTCGGAGGGTCAGAGCCCAGAAGAAGGGGTCGTGGAGCTGCTCTTCTCTTTACTTGTGTTCGCTACCGGTCAGTGAGCAAATTACTCAGTGATATTAATCAGATAACCGATGATGCTGTGGCAGTGAGGCATTCTCTGTTGTGCCTCTGTGTGCTGCAGGAGACGTGTACAAGACCAGAGAGCTCACTCCCTTCCTGGAGTGTGTGGATAACAGTCCGGTGGTCCGATCTGTGCTGCCGAAGCTGCTGCTGCAGTACAGGTGAGGTCAGGGTCAATTAGAGCTGACGCTGTAGAAACATGGCAGGAAAACTAGAGTGTGAAAGAAAAACCACGGCTCAAAGAAGAGGTTTCATTGAACATCCTGTATGTGGAGATCTGGTAAGAATCTGTTCCTGGCTCATTGGAGTATATGTGTTAGCTTTGCCCAGGTGAAGTCTCACATTCACACCTACCTGAAGAACCTGGAGGAAAATCTTCTAGATATAGAAGACCGCACTGAACTCTACCTGCTGTTCGTCAACTGCTTCCAGGTGAAAACAGACAGACTCTCCTTCCCCTTTAGTGCTCTTTGCATTACAATTTTCACCTGGGTTGTTTATATTTGTATATTAAGTTCATGTAATTTAACAGAAGTGAATTGTTTCACATGATGAGAGAATTCAACTTTGAGTTTTTGTACACAAGCCTTCATTTCCCAGAAATCAAAATTCACATTTTGCACTAATTTTCAGCCTAAACTGTCTGTTTGCCACTCAGGATTCTCTGTGGTGCTTCAAAGCGAGAGACGTGGAGAAGAGCGTAGAACAGCAAACACAAAGCGATATCAGCTTCCTGAGCAGGATCGCCAGGAAACAGACTCCAGACAGACAGGAAGACCCGGCAGAGTTCCTGCTCAACACCGCCAGGCTCAGAATCTGTTTGAGCACCGCTGCAGAGCTGCTGGAGAGAGCCACAGCTCAAGGTGGGCTACACTTTGAGTCACATATATGTATGCATGCGTGCATGCCTGAAATGTTAAATCCAATACTGTGGTGCTGTGAGCTCAGATCAGCTGTAAGTCAGTTATCCCAGGCAGTTATTGAGTGTTTCGTCTTGCATTCAAAGGTGGAGAAATGGAGGCTAATCAGTACCTGAGACAGGTGAGGGGTGTGTGTGAGTACAGCAGTAATGATTGGCTCAAGGTTTACCTGCTGCGAGCCCTCCACAGACGCTCTGGCATCGAGCGCATCCTGTCCCTGATGAACAGTCCGGCCTCAAGGTGGATCTTCCCTGCAGAGGTGCTTCGACTTCAGGTAAGAAAATATCTAAAATGACAGAGCTCCTTCCATCCATCCATCCATCCATCCATCCATCCATCATCCATTCATTCATCCATCCATCCATTCATCCATCCCTTCATTCATCCATCCATCCATCCATCCATCCATTCATCCTTCCATCCATCCATCCATCCAT